TGAACAGTGAATGACTGAGCCAAAGTATGAATGAATGGACATCTCAAAGAGCCGTCCATCAGAACTAAAGGAGCAGAGGGGATAGACCTTCCTTTGGTGTTTTTCTGACTAGAAATATCTCCCTGTGATCTGTGATGCCTTAAGCCTAGCCTTATCTGAATGACAGTCTTCTTCAATAAGCTGGTCTAACTCTTCGGCTTGAAGAATTCCAGGGCAGAGAGGCAAGGACAGAAGGAAGTGGGAGGCAAGGAAGGATGCAGCCGAAAGGACTTTGAGGAACCTCATTGTCCTGCGAAATTTCCGCTGGCAGCGTCCCCCTGGCCTGGAGGAGCTTGGCCTTAGTTGCAGTGCCAGGCTAGAGTACAGAGAGGAGGGGCTGCTCCCTGGGGTCAGGGGTCAGAGAGGGAGAGCCAAGGGCCTGTCCGGCTCCGTGTGGCATCCGGTTTCACAGCACTCTGTTTAGAAATAGAAGAGCTGCTCCCCACTCTCCGGAAAAAACGGGAGGAACCTGGCAGGCGTCCTGCCTCGGCTGAAGAACAGCAAGTTCCTGCCAGCTTGTGGGGAAGTGGGGGATTGTGGGGAGGAACCGGGAGAGGGCATCAGAGGGAGCAGGCACAGCCAGCCACATGTTGCCTGGGAAAAGCCTTGAGCAAACGTGTTTCTGAAAATCAGGAAGTTTCTAATTCTTCCAGGCTGTTGTGTGCAGGCTGGCCTACTTCCAGTGAGTGCAATTATTCCCAGGTGTGTGTGTTTATGCTCAAAGAAGCACTGTTAGAGCTAGTCATGGTCACTGCCTGAGACTTCTCTGGAATAATGAGATGGAAAAATCAGTTCCACCTCTCCATGTTTCTGAGGCAGACTTGCTCCTTGGACAGGGCAGGGAAATTCTCTTTTTTTCCTGGGAAGCTCCAGTGCAGTCCATCAGAGCCAGATAGTCAATAATGGCCTCTCCAGAGCTTTTTAGGCAGGGGTATAAAGGATCTAGATATGCAGAAAACCTGCTCTGGCTGTCTGACCCTGGAAATGAACTCAGGGAAGGAGAGCTCTGAGGGAGGACTGAGGGGCTGTATTGAGGAGGGGAAAGTAGTTTGACATTTATTTTTTAAAGGTTTTTGCCATAAGGCACGTGCGTTCACCAGAGAGAGACAGAAACAGAGGGAAAATGAGA